AAACCCAATAGACACCAAACACACGTGGGAAGGCAAAGGTGTAAAATCCAGAATAGACACAATTTGAACAGACAAGGAATGGAAAAAGATATGATAAGGAAAGAAACAGAAAGCATGAACTTTATAATAACAAGTAACTATTGTGTCATCTAGTACAAAATAATTACAGATCTTAATATGCAAAAAAGAAGTGTGGCAAGAACAAAGAGAATAGGCAAAACAAGAGTTAATATAGATTTTAAAAAAAATAGACAGAGAAGACTGGGAAGAATACAAGATGAAATTGGATAAAGAAATTAGCAAGAAATTAGAAGAAAAAAAAAAAGAGAAAAGGAAAAGCAAGAAAGACGAAATCCTGATAAAGCGAATTAGCAAAAAGTGGAAAAGGTAAAAGAAGAACAAATAGAAGAACTATGAGACATTATAGAACTAAGCATAAGAAAGGCAGCAAGCTCAACACTCCCAAAAAAGATGAAGATACCAGAAATCAAAAGAAGAAGTATACTACCAGAAGATCTAACCAAACAAAAGAATGATATATGGAAGCTTAGAAACTGGTATAGTAGAATCAAGAAAAACAGAAGGTTAGAAAAAGACAAAAAGACTATAGAAGAAGTACAAAACCTAATAGACAGAATACAAATAAGGTAGAAGCTAGAAAAGGTTAGAAGTAAAGAGAAATCACTAACCTTTTAGGAGGAAAAACAAAATAGAATCATATATGAAGAGGCAGAAACTTGATGGAAGATATTATACAAAGACTGAAAGAGACGAAGAAAAAAAGCAAAAGAAGAGAAAATCCAAGATTGCATAGAAGCAAGATATAGAATGATCATAACAGACCAAAGAAAAATGATCAATAGCCTACTTGAAAAACTACACTGAAGCATCAAGATAAATCGAATACTTAAGAAAGAATATGGGAAGAAAGAGCTATTCACAGAGGAAGAAGAAGTACTAGAAGAAGTAAAAACACATTTCGAAAAGCAGTTCAGAAAAAGGAAAGTAAATCCTGAAGAATTAAATTAAATTTGGAAAAAAATATACAGACCGATTGAGGAATTAATATGGAGAACTATAGAAGTTTAGAGCAGGAAGTGACAAAAGAAGAATAAGAAGAAGCTTTAAAATATACAAAGAACAAATCAGTATCAGAGCCTACAGGAATTACCTACCTCCTTTTCAAAGAGACAGAAAGAAAAGCAAAAGAACTATTCAGAAGTCTGGCAAGTTATTGCCTAACAGAAAGATATATTACCAAGAAATAGAAGCTAAGGATACTATACCCAATACCAAAAAGAGAAGACTAGTACTATAATCTAAACAATATAGAACCGATACTACTGCTAGAGACCTTCCACAAAACAGTAGTTAAAGTTCTAAACAACAGGCTGAGCAAAATACTGTGAGAAAAAGAGATCCTAAAGAGAAAAAACTTTGCAGGCCTACCAGGTGAAAGAATAGCAGCACCGATATATCTAATCAATTGCCTGTTAGAAGATGTGAGAGAACAGAAAAAAGAGATATCATCAGGAAGTTTTAAAAGAATTGCGCAATGCTAATATACATATTGTTTAATACAATTCTATAGTTTTGAATTAAACAATATATTAAGCAACAGTATATAATTGTATTGGTTAATACAGTCTATTAATTTACTATATTATTTAATATAAATTAGTATTTCAATACAATATAACAATTTTGTATACTATTGTTTGTTGATACTACTATTAAAATACTAAATAAATTAACTTGTTTGTTAATGCAACTATCAAGATACTATATAAATTAACTTGTTTATTAATGCTACTATTAAAATATTATGTAAATTAACTATTGTAAATTAACTATTATTAAGAAAATTATAAAATAACTTAAAAATAATTTTTTTTAAACAATAGTAAATAGTAATCTATATATTATTATTCTGTATTAATTTAACAAATCTATTAAACTGTATATTAATATATACTATTACTATAAAGTATATTAATACTATTACTATTATATATTATTAAAATATATAAATATTGACAAAAGATTCATTTTGTTTATCATAATGTTGAATTACATGTACTAGCTCAACAAGTAATTCTAAAAGTACTAAGTTATATGTATCTAAAATTTGCAACAATAGACAATCATATTTGTATAAATTCTGAATGTTTTTGTAGTGAAAGTCATACCATTGTATAAACGCAAGATCGAAAGATTTAGAAAAACTTTCAATACTAATATTAATCAACATCAGAACCTAAACAAAAAAATAATTTAATATTAAATATTATAAAAAAACATTGACAAAATAAAATACAAACCTTGCCATAACATATACTACTATTAGTATTATAGTCATCAAATTCTTCCTCACTCATATTAATCAACACATTACTAAATAAAGGTTTACTATAAAATCTGCTCACTGCTCTAATATAATCACCTGAAATAATAGTAGCATAACTATACCAAGAAATCTTTGTATTGTTCATAACCATCTTTTCGGTTATATCATCACATAAATCAAAAAAACTATTTAATACTAAAATAAAATTCTCTAAAGCTATTAAGGCTTTCTTAGCCAAAGTATTGTTTTCTTTATACGTATTAAAGAACTCATCAAACTGATCTAAATAATATACCTCTATTAAGCCACCCATTAAGATTTGTTTATTTTTTTTATTTTCAACCTTATTTGGATGCAAATATTTAATTATTGAGTTATAGTAAATCTATAAAATTTAATTATATATATTAATTATGGTAAAAAATTAAAACTTGACATATTGAATATACTATTCAGCTGCTATTTAATATGCTATTCAATATGTTTGGTCAAATAACATGTTGAATAGCATGTTGAGTAGTAGTGTATTCAATATGCCAAATTTTTTAATTCTAACTAGTGCTAATAAAATGCTAACAGTTTTAATCATTTGTTCTGTTGCTCTACATTTATTGCTTGCCAATAAAGATTCTTTACAAAGCTTTTATGTAAAGACTCGTAGGTTTCAGTTACAAATCCATTAATAGAACTATACTCTTCTATTGCTAAAATAATATGATAACACCAATTGTGTAGCTTTAATAGTTGAAGACCCGAAGCTAAATATTTCTTAAAAAGTTTTAAAAAAACTGTAGCCCAACATATAATTAAATCTTAATAATAAAAAAAGTTATAATAAAATTAGCAAAAGAATAATTCTAATATATATAATTTTTGATATATAATTAATTACATACTTTAAATTCTATAAGATCAATTTCCGTAAAGTACTCTCTTCTGCTAAATAAATATATCTTATTCCAATAATAATAAACACTAACTAAGTCTTTATCATATCATTTTGCAGCATTTATTTCTATTGATTTCTTATGGTGCTTTACAATTAAACCTTCAACGATGAATAAAAATACTTTCATCATATTTTGGAATTCCTCTGCTATAAATCGTTTGATATTTTTTAGACCATTTTTAAATATCTTTAACTCTGGAAATCTTGGAATTGTTGATAAACAACTATCAATTTCATCAACAGCCACTTGGCCACATAAATCTTTTAATATTCTTCTTGTAAATATTATTTGATAATAAAACAATCCAAGATCAAGATGATGCATTCTATCTGGCACAGTTGCTGTATATATATTTAGCTAGCTAATATATATTATTAATTAAAAAAATATACATATAAATTGTATTAGTTAATTTTTATTATTAAATTTTAAAATAATTTTAAATATAATTACAGGTATTTTCAGAAAGTATTTTCAATATTATATGCTGAGTATTGTTGCCCAAGTTTCTGATATATAAAATTTTTCATTGTTTCCGAGGTTCTTAATATAATTTGATCATTAGTTAACCTTATGTTATTCAACTCATCAGCTAATACTAAATATTCATGACAGGGATGCTTGCAATTAACTGAATTAAATGTTAATGTTAATGCAGTATTTTCTGGAAGATCATCTAATAGCATAAAGACAAAAGGATAACACCATAATTCACTACTATTTGTTAGAAGATCAAAACTATTTTTCTTATAATCAAGCAATAGTTTTAACATAATATCTAATGAATGATGATATATAGCTCATTTTGAAATTATGAACTCATGTGATTTTTTTTGAGTATCTGTTTTGCTTGTAGAATTGGAAGGTAGGCTAAAAGAACTTTTGCATCAAATTTATTTCTGTGCCAGCTAGGAATATTATCTAATATTAAATATACTAGATGTTCTGTTGATTTTTCTAGCTGGTCGCACATTGTAGCATCACTATATAATATTATTGATAAAATACTTGCACCATTAGGAATTGTTTTTTTTGCTCTTTCCCACCACTTCCCATTATATTGTTTAGAAAATATCTGTTATCCTTGATAATATAATAGTGTAAACTCAAATACACAATGTTTAAAGATGCTATGGTTGCTCAATAGATCCTTAATACAATCGAATATTGGACAATAGTGAAGATAATAAGTTTCTTCTTTCATTTATCATTACAGAAACTTTTTTGAAAGAAATATGTGATACTTCTACTCTATCTAACAATTGACGACCTTGTTTTGTTGAAGTGGGTAAAATTATATTATCACAGCATATCTTTTGTGAAAACTTGAGAATATCACTAGCACATGTATCTGATAAGTTCCACTTCAAAATTAGTTCCATAAAGTCACCAAATGCTTCACTTGGGAAGCCTAAACTATTTGCCCTTAAGCTATGAAAATCAAGGGACATAAAAATTGCAGTGGGTTCTACATCAAGCAATAAATGCTTGATACTAATAGTGTCAGAAGTTTCTGTTTCATTAATTTTCTATATTATATATATTATGCAGGATCATGCAAGGCAGAATAAATAATTAGAAATTTTGACCTTAATTTATTTTTAGATCTGCAGTGTAACTAGTACTTTGTGCATACTAACCACATCAGTTTCATTGTCAGTTTCATCTTCATCTATCATATCCATGATAGCTGCATTTTTCTGTCATTCTTCTTGTTCCTCATTACCCATCACCTGAAATTCTTGTTCTTCACTATCTATTATTTGTAACTCTTGTTTCTCATCACTAATCACTTGAAATTCTTGTTTTTCACTACCACTTATTTGAAATTCTTGTTTTTCACTACTTATCATTTGTAATTCTTGTTCTTCATCACTTATTGCTTAAAATTCTTGTTTCTCACCACCCATCATTTGAAATTCTAATTGGCCTTCATCACTTGATATTTGAAATTCTAGTTTATCATATTGCGTAGCATTTCTCTCTCTTTTATTTGCAATTTCTTGCAAAGCTATTTTAATAATATCAGTATCATGCTTTTTTATATGATTTCGTAGAGAAGAAAGACATGCAAAGTATTTTGGACAATACAGATATTCATATCGCATAATAAAATAAAGCTACCTGCTATTAATATAATTAACATTTTAAATATAAAAAAAAAAATTTATTAGTATTAAGAAAGTAGATTTTTTATGAAAATTCTATCTAAAATGATATATATAAGATATGCAAAGTTGATTTTCATATTGTTAAAACTCTAAACAGACCAGGCCACCTACTTTTTTTAAGAAAAATTTATAAATAAAAATTTTAAATATCTATTCGATTAATATATATAGATATAATTTTTAAAGTTTTAAATATACAATATTTAAGATATATTAAATAACAAAAAAATCAAAATTTTAAATTGAAAAAATTAACCTGGTAGGGATATGAAAACCAGAAAATTTGCTTTACCTAATGCTAATAAAACATATTTTTAATATTTTAGGTTCAAATATGTATACTCTATCAACCTGCTTTAGAAGTGACTTATACAATGTAGTCAATACAAAATAATTAATTTTTAGAAATAACTTCTTTTAATAAAATTATTATTTTGCTTATTTCAAATAAACAAGTTATAAAATTTACTAAAATATGTAAGTAAAAAGCAAATTTACTAAAAAAGTAAAATAGTATTATTTTAACCAATCAAAATGTTGTATTTGCTACAGGTTAGGGTAAATATGCAAGTTACGTATCAAGAGTTTGTATAATACAATAATAATCAAACATGCATGTAGAGCTTATTTTTACATCTATATATATACTATAAATAAATTAAAGTTTTTGGTATATGTAGTTAAATCAAAAATAAAAAAAAAATTGTGATTAGTGAGAAATTCCAATTCAAAATATTAAAGCAAACACATAACACATAAAATAATTTGAGCAGTAATATGTTGATCAAAGTGCCATAGGACTAGCATACATTGCTAAGAATCAAATATGAAGTTCTTTCCAACTTAAAATAATAAAGCAAACACATAACTCAACTCATAAAATTACCATGTAAAGTCAAGTAATAAAATACTAGTGAAGTTAATAAAGATATCACATATATCTCATAAAATACACTATAAGGCAAGCAGTAATATGTTGATCAAAGTGCTATAACAATCAATTGAACCAGCATACAAATGAAAAGTAAAAAAAATAGAAAACAAATATATAGAGAAGAATCAAATATGAAATTATTTGTACTAATACCATGAGTTATTCAAATGAGTTACTATACATGTCTTCTCCTATTCTCACAATATATATTTTAATGGTATATTATTTTCTATTTTATAGGTCACGTTTGAGTTCAGTTAAGCAATGTTACGATTTTTAGTCTATCACTTATCATATATAATTAATAATTCATCATTATATTCAGTATATTAATGATGCATTATTTTCTATATTGTTGAGTTCAATTGAATATAGTATGATTTTAGTTGGTTAGTAATTCTTTATTACTTTGGATTATCAGTAATTCGTCATTACATTCAGTATATTAATAGTGCATTATTTTTGAGTTCAATTGAATATGGTATGATTTTAGTTCTTCATTACTATATATTTTCTTAGTCATGAAAAATAACAAACCTTCTGATAATATCATTTTAGATAGAATTTTCATAAAAAATCTACTTTCTTAATACTAATAAATTTTTTTATATTTAAAATATTAATTATATTAATAGCAAATAGCTATAT